CCCCCCCCCCCCCCCCCCGTGAGACCACTGCCAACAACAGCCTCGAACTTTAGCAGATCGCAGAATGAAGCCCGAGCACTCCCGATGCAGTCTCCCAGCTATGGGCCCCGGGTAATTGCTCCTCTGCCCAATGCCGCTGCAGACCTCTATGCTCGCCCAGAACCTCCTAGCTCTGCTAATTCTCCCTGCGCTGATCGTGGCTCTAACCCATCGCTGCTCTCCAGTAGCCCAGAATGGACAAGTGGTGGACCAGGCACTACCGGGACCAACAAATGGTCCAACCGAGTACAGACAAAAAGTCTCCTGGGCCTCAGATGGCCAAAAATGTGGGAACCAACCATCACTTGTCCGAACAAGCACTTGTGCCTGTTCAGACATCCAAAATCCGAAATGACACTGTCACAGACCAGACAAAACTAGGAACAGTCGGAACAGACAAAAATCTGAAAAATGGAGATGGTCAAACCAGCAGCTCTAGGATGAAAGAGAGATCAGACAGCCTAGGTGACAATCAAATGCGTCTTTCTTTTTTCTTTTATTTTTTTAATAACATGCATCTTCAATTTCCACGCTTTTTTGTTTGCTGATTCTTACCTTGGCATTGATCTTCAGAGCCACATTCGCCAGGTATTGGGATTGAGCTTTAGCAGCTTTGTCCTCAAGCACACATTGTGTAAGCATTCCAAGCTCTGTCTCACAGATCCGCTTAAGATCACCTGCACCCAATGTCGAGGAGATGCCGATGAGGAACAAATAATCAGAAGTAGTAGCTATGGATCCGTACCTATGGGTCTAAGCCCCATGCAAGCACAGATTCGAACCGGCGACTTCCGCTTTGAGTGTAAAGTATCTTAACCACGACAGCCAGGACACGGTGTTCAAAAGTGGAACCATACTGGTCATGATATCCACCCCACCCCTGCAAGGCTGTAGTGTCCAAACTCAATACACCACACACCACCACAAGGACACTCGCAACTTGCTCCAAGTAGCACGTGACCCCAACCGGTAATCGCCCGCTCACTTATGAGTGTCTCTTATCTGCCTGCCAGTTCACGGAAGCTTTCCGCAGTAGCTATAGGTCCGTATCTCTGGGCCTAAGCCCTCCTCATTGCAAGCACATATTCGAACCGGCGACTTCGGCCTCAAGAGCCAAGTATCTTTACTACAGCCAGGACACAGTGTTCAGAAGTGGAACCATACCAGTTGTGAGATCCACCCCACCCCTGCAAGGCTGTAGCGTCCAAACTCAACACACCACACACAACCCCGTGGATGCTGGCAATTCTCGCACTCTTCCCTCCAAGTAGCATGTGACCCCCACCGACAATCGCCCGCTCACTTACGCGGGTCTCTTATCTGCCTGCCAGTTCATGGGAACTTTCCACAACCATCTCCAAGATGATTTTAGGACTCAGGGAGAAGAGCCCGAAAAAGGTTAAGCATATAATATGGGGAAGACAGAAAATTCATTCACAGGCTAGGCTACCAGACGGGTCGCCCGGGTTGCCTCACACCAGCGTGGATGGCCTGGTCGGGCCAGGTCCGGGTCAAGGTCCCGGACAGCCCCAGTGCCCCCCCCCAAAAGCCAAAAAAAAAAATCTGGGAAAAAAACCAAAAATTTTATGCAGAATGGCAAATCAAACTACTTTAAAACAGAAAACGAAAGAAAACAAAAAAAAAAAACACAAAAACCGCGTGTGAAAAGAAAAGAAAACACACATGCACGCACGCACGCTCGTTTGCCTCACCCAGAAATTCGTTATGGAATTTGAAAAACAAAAACAAAAACGAAACATTAAATAATTTAAATTATATCACACGGTCCCTCCCACCTCATTAAAGCCCGTTTAAGCCCCTTTAAGCCACCACTGCCCCTGACATTAAAAAATCCTCCAGAAAATGCATTGCTTCAGGGGCACACAGGGTTGGATGCAGGTGTGGTGGGGCAATGGAAATCGCGGGATCCGTACCACTCGTAGCCCGCTGTAGTCCTGTGTGACATTACAGCCGACACTCGGTGGTACAGATACAATCCATACTTGCGGCGCACTGGTGCAGTGCGCAATGCGGTGCGGTCCGCCCTGCGGAATGTGCGCGGTGACACTGCGCGCGCACGAGGTGCGCCGTGCGCGCAGCGCATGGGGACGCGCTACCCCTGCAAGGGTGCGCACTGTGCGCCAT